CTACCTGAGGGACCCAGATCCCACTGTCCTTGCCCTCTGCTAAGTAGTGGGCTATGCTGCGGTTGGCCTCCTACTCCTTGAGCAGCGCAGGAGACCCCCTCAAGCAGTCTTGGTTTCTCAGTTTTGACAAAGGAACCAAGGGTTTGTAGTGTGTCAGTGCTGGGTGTAGTGGTGGTGGTGGGGGGTTACCTTTGTATCTTTCTGTAAGTACAAAATCACCTCAGTAGAATAACTAAGGGAAAGGACCTTTGGGTCTGTGGGTTCCAGGGCAGGAAAGAGAATGCTGAAAAGGACCCCTCAGGGGGTGGAGGAGGCTGCTCTCCCCCTCCCACAGTATGCAGATCACAGCATGCAAAGGCATTTAACTTGGGCTTGGCCCCCACACCCTGTGTGCTCCCCTGAGCCTGCCAGGAGTGATCCCTGAGCACAGAGCCAGGAGTCAGCCCTGCATATTGCCTAGTGTGGCTACCAAACAGAACGAAAAAAATGAACAGAGCTTCCTGGTCTAAAGGAGACTAAGCTGGGGCAGTGCAGGGAGGAGGGCTGAGTGGCCAGAGGAGAGGAGAAGGGAGGAGAGAAGGAGAAGGGAGAAGAAGAGAGAAACAAAGAGGGAAGGATGGGGGCAAGAGTACCATCCATAAGGCTTGCATATGGCTGCTGCTATTTAATCCCTGGCATTTCCATAAAGTCCTGGGAGTGATTCCTGAATGCAGCAACAGGAGGAATCCCTGAACATTGCCAGGTATGGCCCAGGAACAAAGAAGAGGGGGGGTGGGGACAGGAGAAAGGAGGAGAGGGGAAGAGAGGTGTGAGGGGAAGGGGGAGGAAGAGGGAAGGAAAGGGGAGGTGGAAGGGAGTGAAGGAGACAGATGAGGGAAGAGGGAAAGGAAGAGGGAGAGGGAAGAGAGGAGGGAGAGGCAGAGGAAAGGGAGGCAGGGGAGAAGGGGGAAGGGAGGAGGGGAAGAAGGAGGGATGGTATGAGAGGGGAGGGAAGGAGGGGAAGGACAGAGGGAGTGGAGAGGGGGCTAAAGTGAACCCTGGAAGCCAGATGCCGAGAGGCTCCAGGGAGGGCTGCTGTGCCCAGAGCTGCTGGACAGGCTCCCCGGAAGGACTTCCTGAGGTGGTTCTGGGATGCTCCTGCACTAGCTCTGGGCACAGGTGGGCGGAGGTTTGTTCCTGGAGGTGACTATGGAGACTCTCGGGGGGGTGGAGGTGACGTTTTCATTTTTCACCCCCTCCATCCCCATCTCCATCTCCATCCCCTCCATCCTTTCCATTTCTATTTCCTCCATCTGCTCCATCTTGCTGCTGCCTGCTGAGGCCCAGTCAGAGCAGGGAGGGCTTGCCACTGCATCCAGTGTGCCGCCTGGAGGGCACAGTGGCCTGGACTATAGGAGGAGCCGCCTTCTCTTGTCCTCCTGGAGCCATGGGGGTGCTGGAAACTCCACTTCCCACTTGGAAGCTTCTTTATTTGGCCAAGGATGGAGCGAGCCAGGGATCAGAGAGTGCATGTCCCTATGGAAACAGCAATGAGCCTGGCTCCTGGGCACCAGTCAGGGCTCCAGGGATCTGGGTCTCCTGGATCCTGAGGCAGGGATTGGGGGACATGAGGTCACTGTGGGGAAGCAGAGGGGGCAGGGAATGCGCTCTGCCCCCGAGGCTCTTTCCAAACCCCAGGTTCAGCTCCTTCTCCCTGACCACAGGCCTTTCTCTCCTCCCTTTGGTGCAAAGAGCTTGAGCACCAGGCTTGGTGCCAGTGAGCAGGCGGAGGGAGAGCCAGAGGCTCCAACATGTGTGGGGCTTGGAGAGGGGGCACCTGCTCCCCTGGGAATGTCCAAGTGCTGCTCTTGTCCAGAGGCCATCCTGAAGCCGCATCAGAGACCCCTGGTCTTGGCTCAATCTGAACATTTCTCCACCCAAGGCCACTGCATGGGAGCCAGGCCTGGTTAAGGTACAGGGCAGGGGTCGGGGAGAGGGACTGGCTGAGGGCCAGGTGCCACCTCCTTTGTGAGTTCCATAACCCTGTAGCCCTGTGGGCATCCTGTTATGGCAGCTGGGCACCACCTCCTTCCCTCCCTTGTGCCTCTATCCAGTTGGGGTCCACACTTCTCCTGGAATCAGTTATCGTGACCTCTGCACCCCCATGCCAGGCCTCTGCCTGCTCGTGCATGTCCCGAGGGCTCTCAGCTGTAATTCTTCTATGCAGACATGTCACCTCATTCCCTGATCTCTGCTCCCGCAACAGAGACACCAGTCACGCAGGTCCAAGCCAAAGATCTTGGATATATTCTTGGTTTCAGACCATACCCACTGGTGCTGGGGGCCTATCCTGGCTTCCTGGCTTAATGCTTAGAGGTTTCCTGATGTGGTGCTAGGAACCAGCCCAGTAACCTCAGTTAGAGCAGCCAAGAGCCCTGCTGTGAACCACACAGCCATGCCTCATCCCCAGGAACTGTGACTTTCACACACTGAAAACCTGCCCCCCAAAGGAGGTGCTGGGGGGTCAGGCTCTAAGGCTTTTCTTAGGGTTTTGGTCCACACCTAGTGATACTGAGGGGTTACTCCTGGCTCTGCCCTCAGGAATCACTCCTGACTAGCTTGGGGGACCAAAAGGGGTGCTGGAGAGTGAACCTAGGTCTGCAGCGTTCAAGACAGGCACCCTATCTGCTGTTCTATCTCTCCAGCGCCTCCAAGTTTTCTTTAAATCAGGAAATTTCCACCTTTCCCAGCCCTCTCCAAATAGAGAAACCAGATTCGAGCACAGTTCTAGGTTCCCAGGCCCCCAGGCCACAGGTGCAGCCTCCTCCTGAAAACAGTTCTGTTGTCACAGTGGTTGGGCTCTGCTCCTGACCATCACCCAGTCAGCATCAGAAGCTTTGGCAGGTGAGGGGGTGCTGAGGTGCAAGCCTAGAACCCCCTTGGCTTTCAAGGTGAATCCCCCCACTGAGCCATTATCCCTGGACTTGAGGAGTTTTCATTACATTTTAAAAATTTTTTGATTTTGGGGGCTACACCTGGAGATGCTCAAGGGTCACATCTGGTTCTGCACTCAGGAATCACTTGGTGGTTATTGTCTTCCAAGCAGAGGGAGGAACCGTTCTCGTGTGAGAGAGTGGACAGTGTGCACCCTAGCCGCTGGACTATCTCTGCAGCCCCTGGGGAGTTTTCATTGTTTTCATTTTCATAAAGACTATCAGGTCTTTTTTTTTTTTTTTTGATGGGGGTGGGTGTGAAGTTGGGCCACACCTGGTGGTGGTCAGAACTTACTCCTGGCTCTGTACTTAGGGGTCACCCCAGTGGTGCCTGAAGGACCATGCAGTGTTGGGGATGGAACCTAGGCCTCCTGTGTAGAAAACATGTGCTTCGGCCTTTGAGCTCTCTTTCCAGCCCTGGCCTAGATCCATATATTTTTTTTTTCTTTTTGGGTCACACCCAGCTTTGCACAGGGTTACTCCTGGCTCATGCACTCAGGAATTATTCCTGGTGGTGCTCGGGGGACCATATGCGATGCTGGGGATCCAACCTGGGCCGGCCGCATGCAAGGCAAATGCCCTACCTGCTGTGTCAATGCTCCAGCCTTGCCTAGATCCATTTTATTTCGGTTTTTGGGCCACACTAGGCAGTGAATAGGGCTTACTCCTGGTTCTGTGCTCAGGGATTACTCCTGACTGGGAACCATGTGGGGTGTCAGGGATGGAATCCGGGTCAGCTGAGCAAGGCCAGTGGCCTTCCGCACTGTAGTACCTATGACTCTGGTCCCTATATCCATTGGAGTCCCCAAGTCTGTGTAGCTATCTCAGTGGTAGAGATGCATAACTGACAGGAACAAGGCTGTTAGGCTCTGCCCTCAGTGCTCACACACACGGCTGTCTCGATTTCTCTCCTTGCTTGTGGTGGTCCTGTGCGTGCTGTGTGTGGGGTGTTGAAGACGATCTTTGCTTCATCCACTTGCTCCTTTGCCCAAGGTCAGCTGACACAGTGAGAACCCAGCTCTGGGTGATGTGCCCTCCTTTTAAGCCATTTGTCTGTTCTTTCCCTTCTGTCATCTGTCTTGAAATCGGTGACTTAATGGGAAGTTTTGAAGCAAGGCACGTTTCTCAGTGGGGCTGGAGGTAAGGCGGGTGGAGGGAGCCTTTTCTCTTAAGTGCTCTGCTCTCTGGATCAATGCTGCCCACCAGAAGGACTGGCTCCATTTCCTCAGTGGGCCGGCCCGCATGCCAAGGCCGGTCCTATGGAGTGGGCAGCCTGGAGGAGGGACAGAAGGCCCTCCCTGGATGCAGGCCTCAGCCAGCTCTGCTGACCTACTCCAGCCAGAGTGGTCTTCCTGAGCCGGTCGCCTGGCCTCCTCACTTTAAGGGGTTTCAGGAGCTGCACTGCGCGCAGCAGGGCAGAGATGGACGCATGCATAGACAAGTGGGTACTAGAGATCTGGGGGCTCAGCGCCGGCAAGGGTGAGCCCAAAGCGCTGGCTTCTCGCTGCGCCCTTCGCGGGGCTTTCCGGCCAGTTCAGGGCAGAGCTGGACCGCCCAGGAGGCCGGGCTTGCTGCCCCTGATGCAGGCCCGAGACTGGCCGGCTCCGGCCTGCCGCGCGGGGGTCGCCGGCTGGGTCCCAGGTGCTCGCCCGCCCGCGCCCGCGCCACGGCAGGCCGCGCGCCGGTCGCGATCGCGCGGGCTGGGCGCGCGCACGCTCGCGGGAGGGGCACCCTGGCCGCGCGGCCGTGACGTCACGGCACGCCGCGGGCTCGGGCGCCGCTCTGCGCTGGTCCCCGCCGCCGCCCGGCGCGAGCCCGCCGCCCGCCCCAGGCCCGCGCGGCTCCGCGCCGCCGGCCGCGCGCGCCCGCGCCCGGCCCGCCCCGCGCCGATTTGAAAAGCCCGGCCCGCGGCCCCGCGAGCGCGGCAGCCAATCAGCGGCGCGCACTTTCCCGCGGCTTCTGCCAGGCGGCCGCGGCCCGGCGGCGGCGGCGGCGGGCGGGAGGCGCGGGGGCGGGGTCGGCGCCGCGCGCGGAGAGCCTCGGCCTGGCCGCGCAGCGCCCGCCGCCGCCGCCCCCTCCCCTCGGCACCCGCCCTCCCGCCGCCGCGACCCCCTCGGGGCCCGCCGCCCGGAGCCGCCGCCCGCGCCGCGAGCCGCCGCCGGAGGATGCGCCGCACAACAGGTCACTGAGGCGCCGGCCGGAGCCGCGCGGGGCCGAGGGCCGGGGCTGTTGCCGGGGCTGAGGCTGAGGCCGGGCCGGGCTGCGGGCCGGGGCCGGGGCCGGGGCTGAGCCGGGCCGGGCCGGGCTGGGCCGCGGGCGGGGGCGCCGGCGCGGAGCGCGGGCCGAGGCGGCCGACGCGGGCTGAGGCTGCCGAGGCTGCCGAGGCGGCTAACGGGCCGGGCGGGCGCGGCCATGTTGGGCCCGGGCGGGCGGCTGCACCTGTGCCGGCCGAGCGGTCCGGGTCGGGCTGGGCCGCCTTTGTTCCCGCGGCGCCGCCGGGCCGGGCCGCCTTTGTGAGCCGGGCCGGGCCGGGCGGCACGGGGGAGGCGGCGCGGCGGCGCTTTTTGTGTGGCGGGGCTGCGGCCGCGCAGCCCCCCTAGCCGGCCGTTGGGCAGCGCGGGCGGCGCGGGCGGCGCGGGCCTGGCAGGTGGCGGCCTGAGGCCGGGGCGGCGGCGGGGCGGGCCGCGGGGCGCGGGGCGCGCGCGGCCGTGCGGGAAACTTGGCGGCGCGGGGGAAGTTGGCGCCCGCGCCCGCGCCGCCGCGGCCTGGACTTCGGGCGGAGTTAGACCCCTCGGGCCGCGCTCCCGAAGCGCCCGCGGCGCGGGGCTGGAACTTGGTCGCGCGCGCCGCCCCCCGTCGGCCGCCCGGCCCTGGCCGGGGTCACCGCGGCGGCCGCGAGCCGAGAGGGCCGGGCCCGCGCGCCCGCGCGAGTCACTTCCTCTCGGTCGTCCCCGGCCTCGGCGCGCGCCGCCGCCCGCGGCCCCCGCGGCCCCCGCCGCGGGGTGCGAGCCCCGAGCCCGAGGCGCCAGGGCGGGGACGGGCGCCGCGTTCCCGCCCGCGCGAACGCGTCCACTTGGGCTGCCTGTACGGCAACTGCCCACCGAAAGGCGAGCAGGCCACGCGGTGTGGCCCCTGAATTGTCCAGAGGGCCTCTCCGCGCAGCGTCCCGGGATCTCAGCGGGGTCCCCAGCACACAAGGCGGCTCCTAAGTCCCGGTGCGCTCTCAACCCCCACCTTAGGATTTCTGTGCAACTGAGTCATACGGGGCCCGTGAAGCAGGTAATCCTGCTTGGGTGCCACGAGCAGAGTGGAGAGAAGGTTTGAGTCACAGGAAGCGAAGACCCTAGGACTCGGGCTTTCCTTGTGCCTCATCGCACGTCCGTCCGCTCTTTGGGGATGGGCGGGGAACCATGTGGCCCCACATGCAGAGTATCAGCTCTTTGGCCATTCTTCTCCCAGGCCCCAGGCAGTCCAACTTATTTATTCTCATCTGGCAGAACGTAAAATAATCACTTTTATTATTTTTAAAAACGATTTTACACTTGGTGAACAGTAGGGAAAAGTAGGTGGAATCAGAGTGTGACCCCTGCGGTAAAAGGAAAAAACACTAACTGTGCTCTGTAAGATGGAGGACTGTTCCCAAGCACCGAAAAACGTCCTAAGATGATGTGGAATTCATCACCTAAATTAAATTTGCCCCCCCCTTTAAAATCTGGACAAATAACTTAAAATTATTTTTTTGTGCACACCCAGCGGTGCTCAGAGATAACTCCTGGCTCTTTGCTCAGGAATAACTCCTGGGATAGAAACAGGATCAGCTGGGTGCAAGACAAGTACCTTACCAGTTATGCTATTGCTCCAACCCTGATAAAACCCTGAAAATGCTTTAACAAGAGCAGAAGACATAAGGCTCACACACATACTTAGGTATTCTAGTAAACAAGCTTTTTTCCTTTGTTTCTGTGGACTGCTTGGTGAAGGACCTTTATATCTTGGTCTTACTCTTCCTTTGGCCAGACTAGGGAATGTGTTCCTGTTCCCAAAATATGTGGTGCTTTATCCTGACCCCACACTGTAAAGTGGCTGGTGGTGTATGTGGACCACTGCTTGTCCTTGTTCTTGAGTCCCCTTTACTTGGCCAGCTGCGACCTTTCTCCCTTAGGGCATGAGTCTGAAGTCGGACCCACTCTGCTGGTGCAGCATGTGACTGTGGGTCAACAAAAAAACGCTTTTTTTTTTCTTTTCCTTTTTGGGTCACACCCGGCGATGCTCAGGGGCTACTCCTGGCTCTGCACTCAGGAATTACTCCTGGCGGTGCTCAGGGGACCATATGGGATGCTGGGAATCAAACCCAGGTCGGCTACGTGCAAGGCAAACGCCCTACCCACTATGCTATCACTCCAACCCCAAAGAACCTGTTTTAATACTGATATCTGTCCTTCCCGTCTTTCTGCTTTTCTTCCTGCTGGCTTTCCTGCTTTCTGACCACACCTGGTGGTGCTCATGGCTTACTCTTGGCTCTGTGCTCAGGGATCTCTCCTGGCAGACTTAGGGGACCTTATGTGGTGTTAGGGATCAGTCCTGGGTCTGCTCTGAGCAAGGCAAGTGCCTGGCCTGGTGTACTGTAACTCCAATCCTATGTTTTTCTTTTTCTTTTTTAAAAGAAGGATTGTTGGGATAGAAAGGGACTCCAGGAAAAAGCTGTTAAGGGTATGACTTGAGGTTGCAGTGCTTCAGTGGGAATTAAGATAATTAGCAAGGGAGGCAGTTTCCTTTCTTTTTCTTTTTTCCATCATAGCTAACTTAAATGGTAACTAAAAATAAGTTGTGAAATACTGTAAATATAAGAGTACAACAGATAATAGAACAGACCTGTGTTTATCAAGTACTGATGTTTCTGCTATAATTCCCTGCCAGTGGATAAAATTTAAAAAACAAAACAAAACACATAAAATGGGGCTAGGGATATGACTCAGTGGTAGAGCTCTTGCTCTGTATGTGTGAAGATCCGGGCTCAATTTCTGGCACCAAAAACTAAAACAATAAACTAATATGTGGTATGCAGAATAGAAAAGCAAGAGGTGAAATGGAATTCTAGAAGATCAGGTACATACTTTATAAGCTGTCTTTTTAGAATTTTTGAAAAATTGTTTATGGGCCGGAGCGATAGTACAGTGGGTAGGGCATTTGCCTTGCACGCGGCTGACAGGAGTTCAATCCTTGGCATCCCATATGGTCTCCCAAGCACCGCTAGGAGTAATTCCTGAGTGCAGAGCCAGGAGTAACCTCTGAGCATCACTGGGTGTGACCCAAAAAGCAAAAAAATAAAGTTCATTTATTTAATATAGTTGGTTGGAGAGGGTTGGGGTTGGGGCATACCCAGGTATGTTCAGGTCTTACTCCTGGTTCTGTGCTCAAGGATCACTCTTGGTGCTGTATGGATCATAAGAGGTGCTGGGGTTGGTGTCAGCCCACATCTAAGGCAAGCACCTTATTTTCTGTATTCCTTGCCCACTACTTAATGTTTGTTTTGGGGCTACATCTGGTGGTTCTCAGGAGTTCTTCTGGTTCTGTACTCAGGAATTACCCCTGACAGTGCTGAGGGACCATTTGGGATGCCAGGGATGGAACAGGGGTCGGCCATGTGAAAGGCAAATTCCTGCCCCGCTGCTATCACTCCTGCCCTAATAGTTAATGTCAACACAATATTCAGGGACAGAGATTGCAGCCTGTTTGCTGGCTCATAACTAAAAAAACTCTAATCTGTAGTGAGAGTTCACTAGTGGGTGCATAGAGAAGCAGTTTTCTGAGTGGAAGAAGTTGGGACTTGAGTTTTTCTCTTGACTAGGATAACATTTGAAAGAGCTGATTGATTATATGAATTAAATTCATCATGTTATTAAGGGATGTTTTATACCAGTGGGTTTTTTTTTTTTTGCTGCTTTATCATGAAAGCTATTGATTTAGAAAACATGTTTCTGAAAGAAAACATGTTCCAGTTTTCCTATGGTAAGCTCTGTGCCTTGCCCTGTCTATCTGAAATGCTCTTGTGGGACTAAGGAGATAGCTTAGAGGGTGAAGTGTGTGCTTTGCATGTGGGAGCTTCAAGTTCAGTCTCCTGAACTTGGTGGGGAGTAGCCTTGAGCACTGCTGTGTGTCTCCCTTCCCCATGCACTTGTGGTATCTTTCAATTGTCTTTATTGCCTGGGGGGTCCAAGCCCTCTCTTGAAGCTCTGTCTCTGACTGCTCTAATTGTTCTTTTTGGTTTTGGGGACACACCCAGTGATGTGCAGAGGTTATCCCTGGCTCTGAGCTTGGGAATCACTCCTGGCTCAGGGTGTGGAGTGTTGGGGATTATACCTGCCCCTGTGCCCAGCCAGGCTTTGTCCTAGGAACCCTTGCTCGTTGGTTACTACTCCCCACTTTGTCTTGTTTTGCCTTGTGCTCCCCTGTGGCCTAGCCCTCATCTTTTTGTCAATTCCTGTAAGTTCTTGTCTCAGTTGGTGTTGCTGGACTCTGCCCACACTCGATGCAGTTTCCCCTTGTCATTTTTGTCTTTGGTGTTGGGTCCTGTTATGATAGCACAGTCCAGTGGGTCTGTCTGTTGTTCATTTCTCCAGGTGGTGAGATTATTTTAGAGCTACCTCTGACTTGTTTTTTTGACTTCAGGGAATTCTGTCAGTGAACTGGAGAAAGGTTTATTTATTTACTTTTTTTTGGAGGGGGGTGGGGTGGGGGGGGGCATGCCCTGCAATGCCCAGGGCTTACTCTTGGCTCTGTGCTTAGAGGTCACTCCTGATGACACCAGGGATCAAATCTGGGTTGATGATGTGACGTGGAAAGGCAAATAGCACACCTTAACTCCTTAAGATAGCATACCTTAACCCCTATGCTTTCTCTGGCCCGAGGAGGCCTTTGAGTTTTATATTTCCCTCATTGAAGTTTCAGTCTTCCCAGCTTCCCTTCCTTTGGGTGCCCTGAAGGACTAATGTTTGGTGTGTGATCGTATGATTTGCTTTGGGCAATGAAAAGTGGCATTTCTTTTCTATCTAGAAGTTCTATGGGACATGTGCTTTGTTTCATTTTTTAAAAATTTGTCTCTAATTGTAGAATCATACAGGTAAGTACTATGAGCAAAAGAGAAAATTTTGGATTAAGTAACGAATTTTACAGGTATGTTG